CAGCTCTGACCTTTTCAAACAATTTGGTTTCATATATTTTAATCCCACCTTTATTATTTTACAAGTAACTGAAGGCAGCAAGCACTCCTTCCTATTTTATTTTCCTCAGAAAAACAACCCTGTGAGGTGGACCGGCCTGAGAGAAAGGGCCCAGCTGGCTTTCGTGCCATAAGTGGGATTAGAACTCACCTCTTCTGATGATCAGCCCAATGTCACCCAGCTGGCTTTCATGCCATAAGTGGGATTAGAACTCACCTCTCCTGGTGATCAGCCCAATGTCACCCAGCCGGCTTTCACGGCCAAGGCAGAACTAGAACTCACCTGGTGCCATCGCCACTGCACCTTGTTCTTATGGCAAGGAATGAGGATCGGCCTGCTTGGTTCTGGTAATAAGAGAAGGTGGAGAGAAGACTATTTCGTGATAGACCCACAAAGGGATCGTGGGGGAAACCAGGCATGGAAGGAAAGGAGAGAAATCTGAATCACTGCAGGGAGAAAAAGCAGGAGTTTGAAATTAAAATGTATTATAATACATTGACAGTTGGAACAATTAATCAGTGGAACAGAAGTTGTGAATGCCCCAACACTGGAAGTCTTTAAGAAGATGTTGGATAGCCATTTGTCTGAAACGGTATAGGGTTTCCTGCCCAGGCAGTGGGTTGGACTAGAAGACCTCCAAGGTCCCTTCCAACTCTGCTATTGTATTGTATTGTATTGTATTGTATTGTACCTCAATTGGAATCTTTCTATGCTAGTGATGCCAATAATTAGGCAACCAAAATAACACACGTGTGTGCCCTATTGTGAACGCACATGTGCTCACACACCTGCACATGTGTGAGCAACCGATTTGCACATGCACGAATGATCCACCTGCGCATATGCGAGCAACCCCCATATGGGGGGGGATTTGCCCTCTCCAGGGTCCCAAGGCTTTCCTGAAGCCCAGGGAGAGTGAAAACGGCCTTCCTGGGCCCTCTGGAAAGCTGGAGGAGGCCATTTTCACCCCTCCCCAGGCTTCAGGAAAGCCTCCAGAGCCTAGAGAGGGCGAAAAACAGGCCCAACGGCCCAACCAGAAGTTTGGGAAAGAACTTCCAGTTTTCCCATTGGGCCGTTTTCGCCCTCCCCAGCTTCAAGAAAGCCTCTGTAGCTTGGAGAGGGCAAAAAATGGCCCAATGGTCCAACTGGAAGTTCATTCCCAAACTTCTGGTTGGGCGATTGGACCTGTTTTCACCCTCTCTAGGCTCCGGAGGCTTCCCTGAAGCCTGGGAAGGGCGAAAATGGCCTCCTCCGGCCCTTTGGAAGGCTGAAAATCAGCTGGCCGGTGCGCACACGTGTGCTGGAGCCGAGGGCTGCCGTGCTGGCAAATATGGTGCCATAGGTTCGCCATTACGGCCCTATAACATTTCAGACAAATGGCAAACCAAACATAGCGAAAGAAGCGGATCACCCATTTACCCTGAAAGGGTGGCAGAAAACCTGTCACTCTATTACTTTAATTTGCAAAAGGCAATGGAAATAACGGAGGAACTGAAACACTTGCATTCAAATCCTTGATACACCGGCAGGCATTGGGCTTCAGGAGGGCAAGGACTGAGGTCACACCATTTCACTTCTTCGCAAGCTTTCCCAGCCATGTTTGGTGGACAGGTACAAGTGAAGTCATCCCAGATTGAATAGCAAACACCACCATTCTGGCATGGAGCAGACTAAAAAGGAAAAAAAGAATGGGAATGAAAGGTGATCAAAGTTTTCTGTTTTTCCGATCAATTGAAAAGAGCACGGGGGAAGAAAGGATCTGCCTTTCTCTTGGCTTCCACTCAGTGCCATTAGTGGCAGTTAGTCTACTTTATTTTTCATATATTTTAACCAGGGATGTATCAGATCTGGTCTTCCAGATGTTGAGTAAGCTTATCATCGGGGCGGCCAATGGACTAAAGGAAATTTTCCATCCATTCCATCCATTTTGCAGGCCAAATGTCATCTGTTTCTTTTATACAAAGTTTAGAGTGGAGATGGCGGCCTCTCCAGCCTATTTATCTGTTTTCTCAGCAAGCAAACCCGATAAAAGGTGGGGGCTTTAATCCGTTGGCTTCAATGCTTCAAATGTCAAAGAATTCTCAGTTAATTTCCTGACCCGAGCAGCTAAAACATCTTAGGTAGCAGAGTTAGTGAAGACCTCTGATTTCAGCCTCAACTGGGAAATAGACAGGAAGCAAGAAATCTGAGATCCAGTCTTTCAACTTCTCTGCCCTTTCCAGCAGCCATGGGGGGGGCTCCAGTTTTTATGAGAATAGCGGTACTGTGAGAGAGGAAGTTCAATCTTCCGTGCCACTTTCTCCAGATCTAAATTAGATCCTAAGGCTGCTGGGAGACCCGCTTGGGAGTTGTTGTGGGGAACATAGGTAACATTTTAGGGCCTGAATTTCTTTTCCTGCTCTGGGCTAATAACTCCAGGAGAGGAGAGAATTGATTAGACCCAAAAAGAGAACGCAGGAAGGAAAATAAATATTAACCTTTCTCTTGCTACTCCCCACAACACAAAGGTCTCCGCCCCTGTGGATAATTTTATTATTATTTTCCAATTAAAAAATTAGAATCCCAGGTCAGTACAGACGATATTGCTTGGCGTAATAATTATAAAGGCACTTTATTGTATAGAAAACAGCCAATTTCTTTTTTCAACCTAATTGTAGAAATGCTGCTTCTTTGGGGATTTTCTTTTGTCTTTGAACTGCCAACAAATTGAAGAGAAAGCAAACAGAAAACGAGTAAAACGGGAGCAAGTTGTTTCAATATTTGTAATTTTAAAGTCTTACTTTTATTTTTTTTGCACTTTTATACAATTTTATTAACTTCCTTGTGCATTCAGCTGTACAGAAAAACAAGTTTCAACTGAATGCCTGCCTGCCCGGATGCATAATGAAGTGGGTGTAAAGGCTGGAGGAAAGCAAGGGGTTCAGATGAAGGGAGAAATAACTTTGGACTTCTCAAGTCAGAGGAACTGACAGGCTATAAAGTTGTGAAGAATGAATGAAAAGTAGATCCTGTCTCCTTTTTTAAAAATACATTTTTATTACTTTTGCCTTGAGCTGGCTTCTGTTCATCACTTAATGGTCCTGACATCAAGGAGCACATGCATGTAAGCCCTCATAGAACCAAGATTACAAATAGCATGCTTGTCAAAGGACTCCATTAATGCATTCGGGGCATTCCCAGACCTACTGTTTCTCTCATAATTTGAAGCAATCGAGAATTGTAGCTACTTCGTCTGGCCTAGAAATACTAAGAAACCACTAGGAACACCAGGTAGCAATCTGTGCTCATCTTCCAGCCGAATACTGGAAAAGCAAAATTTAATCAGTCTCCCAATTCCCTGAACTCTTGCAGATACAGGAGCAACAAAAATCCTTTCCACCATTCCGCCTATAGAAATAAAATAAATTGCCATCTCTTTCTTAAATCCATGTATTCAGGCTCCACTTGTCTGATTTCCATAAGAAAAAAGAAAAAGAAACAAAATCTTAATAGTTACTGTTAAGGGACCTGAAAGACATTCCTATTGCATTAAAATGCTTCTTTCAAGTTGTGAAGAGAAATAATAGCTTGTCAACATTTTTGGGTAACCACATGCTTTTCCCTATAGTATTAACTATGGTTGCCTCTTGCTCTTGAGCCTGGGATGGCAGGAGAGGCAAAAATGTCTATAAATAGGGACCAGGTCTGCTTCTGCATTACTGCAAATCCCTTAGATTGAAGTCTCCTCAGCAGACACTCACGAGGGAAAGAAAGGAAACAATAATGAGAAAGCAGAAAGTATTGGTGAGCATTGCCATAGCATTTGAAAGCAGCAGAAACCATATCATAGAGAAGCACAGGAAGAGACTGGCCTAGAGAAGGCTTAGGGATGCTCTAAGGCAGTGTTTCTCAACCTTGGCGACTTTAAGTCCTGTGGACTTCAACTCCCAGATCCCCCCAGCCAGCTACGCTGGCTGGGGGG